TGTAAGTTTTAATAAAAGATAAAATAAGTGGGGTTAATTATGAATTTTATAAATAATAAGCGTTACTAATAAATTATAAATCTGATATCCAACATATAATATAAATTTTGAATTAGAATCAGCCATCCTTGAAATTGAAAGAAGTATATAATTAACTATATTTTTTGTTTTATTTCAAATTCAATTATAGATAATTCTACAAATTAAAATATATTATGTTTCATATTGTTGTATGATGTAATGTGATATTATTTATGTAGTTAATGTTTAATTTCAATATTATTATAATTTCTGTAAGTCTTTGTAAAGGATAAAATAAGTGCGGTTTATTTATAAATTTTATAAATAATAGGTATTACTAATAAATTATAAATCTAATATTTTTCCTTTTTAACAGATAAATAGAGAAATACATTGGACAAAGATTCTTTCATATTTTAAAGTTTTATATTCTAAAGAAAAAATTGCAATGTACATTAAAATTGTTTTATGAAGAAAATATGAATAATATGGAGAATGTGTATAAATTCTTAATGATTGTTAATTTGTTATTATTAACTGTAGAAGTGTATGCTTTTTTAATTAAAAGACTAAATTCTTGATTTAATTAAAAAATCAAATTGAAGATTTTTTCTTGAAGTTATAAATTTTTTTTTTTTTGTGAATTTTGAATCTTTTATAAATTGTTAATAATTTTTCATTGTAGAAAGGAAAATCAAATGTGATGTGATCTAAAGCAAAAGAAAGAAATAAAAAAACTACAAAAAAGGAGAAGCTAAAACTAAAAAGACTCAGAACAATATAAAAACTGAGATGGGTGGTGATAATGAAGACGAGTGCCTAGTCTAAGTATTTATGTTGTTATTGTTAAAGTCTGAGTGCTGGAGATTTATATTGACAATTTTTGTTTTCCATATTTTCCTTAGTTAATTGGTTGAAATTAGATTTTTTTTATGTTTTTGCACAAGAGTTGTAATTTTGGTAATTGTTATCAAAACAAGAACACTAATGATCAAAATTCATATGGCTTATGAATCACATTCGTGATTGATACAGTGACCAAAATACATCAAAGTGATTCCTATCGGTCACTATCTGATCGATAAAGTGACCGGAATACAACTGATGCATTTCTATCGGTCACTGCATGTTTCCTATCGATCATAACTGATCCATAGGTTAACTGATGCATCTTGGCTCCACCACTATCGATCACCTCATAACCGAAAGCATGACCGATGTTCACTACTGTTTTTTTTTGTAAGGAGACATGGTCTTGAAGCAGCATTTTATAGATAAACTTTTAAAAGCTGTATCAAGGAAGATAAAAAGAGATTATGATGATCATTTTCATTAACCACAGGAGCAGTGTACTATTTTCTTAAACTAAAAAAAAATTAGAAGCATCTTATTATATAAATTGTATTGTTTCAAAGTTAGTATTTGACATAATCATGATATGTATGAAATTAACGATCAAAGTAAAGTATGTCAAATATTATTTTAAAATAATAAATCTAATTCAAATAGAAGTATAAGAGTCTGTTTGTCGGTTTAAAAAAAAATCTATACGGATATCTAAGTAAAAAAAAATAATAATAATCTCAATAAGAATAAGAAAAACTAAATATTTTGAAACATGTGATAAAATTAAATTGGGAAATAAATAAATAAAAAGTTAAATAAATTTTATATTGTTAGATTTATTTATATTAATAGGTGTTTCATATTTTAAATTTTATTTTTGTTTTATGAGGTAATCTAGTTTTTTTTCTCTTAACGTATTTATAGAGTTAACTTATAAACCTCGCATATCCTAAATTCATAATCTAGTATCAGTATACATAATGAAGCATTGTATCTATTTGATAAATCTATACTAAATGAAAGGAGGAGTTTGGGGTTTCTAAAGCTATCCACCTCAGTTTTTTAGAAAGTTCTCTAAACTTGACACATCAGCAAAATATAGTTATTAGCAAACACTAAATAAAACTACATATAATTTTTTGAATCAGTAAAATAAATATCATTTAAATCTACAGCATTAATACATATTCCTTTTTGTAATATAATGAATATATTGGACAACAAATCTCATTTATCTAAAAGGGATAGATTTCCTACTCTCTAAGGAGAGCCACATAGGCAAAAATAATCAGCCAATAAGAATATAACAAATTGCCACATCGTTAAATTATAAAAAAAACTAACCAATAAGAATAAGACAATATACCACATCAGCAAAAATAATTTACCAATGGTAAATTTCAAAACTGCTATATCATCTTCTCCAACCAATAATTTAAAGTCATTTTATTAAATAATTTATTAATCAAAATTTCTTCAAATTTTACCTAAAAAAGCTTTTATAATTCTTAAATTCTCAATAAAAAAACAAAGCTAAAAAAAACTGAAAACGAATTACACTAAAACTCAATTATAAAGCTTAAACAAAAGCTTATTTTATGGAGTCATCATCTTCTCGGTTTCCAATCATCTTGCCTCTGACTCACCAGAAACGGAATCAGTCGTCACTCAACACAAATTTTACTTATTAATTAATGACAACCATATTGGTGATAAACAATAAAACTTAAATAAGTGGAGCATAAATATTTGGAAATCCAAAAGACATAGCAATGAGGATGTAAAAAAAAAAGACATAGCATGAGCTACATATGGTATAAATAATACACAACTCTATCACAAATGAAGTCTAATGTGTCTCATGCTTGAGATTGTTGTAAGCAACATAAAAATACAATCTCACAACTGTTTTGCATTTATATTTATAATGTGAATTAAGTAGAATGAGTCTGAATCATAGTATTGTTGTAACTGGAGAACGTCTTTCTCGCCAAAAGTAAAACTTAAGGAGCGACTCAGTTTTCTTTCGTCTAGAGAAAATTAATTTATACAATTGTAACTTTTTGACTTATAACAGATTTCAAGTTTCTAAAGTTGATAAAGAGTTCCATATTGTTCGTTGTAATCTGATATTGTAGAAAAATTGAAGTAAAAACCTAACTAAAGAACCGGCGATTAAAGACAGTTACTCACTGTTTCTTAATTTTTATTTGCAAAATTTCATGAAACATAATACTGAAAAGATTTTTTTTTTCAAATAACATATAACGATAAATTCTACACTCTTCACCAATATTGGCAAATGATTGAGCTAGCTAAACTATCAAACAAATATTATATCAATCAATAAAGAACTCATATAATAAAAAAGTTTATTATTAATTTCCATTTGTTTTCTTCGTTGAATATATGAACTAATTATAAAACATCTATGTACATACTGAATCTTAAAAATTTGATAAGTAGGGAAATGCATACTATATGAAAATTAAAAACAAAATCCTAATACACAATATGAAACAAAAATGGAGTAAGGATTGAGTTTTTCTTTTTAAAAGCATCAAGCGAAAAGGAAGCTTATGTAAAATATTTTTGAAAGTATAAAAAAATACTCATGGTGTTCACTAAAGAAATAGCATTATAACATAAGATGTCTAAATTTAGACAATATATTTCTAATATAATATATAGTTCATGTGGATACTATTTACATAAAAAAATATAACAAAATTACAAATCAAATTATTATACAAAAATGTCAAACTTTACCCTTCATATTTGCAAAAACATGCATTAACTCTTAAAAATTGTTTAACTAAGCCAAAAGGTATATTAATCTACTTTCAAATTATTATACCAAAAATTTGATCATCTTTTCACATATATATATACATCCTTCTAATACTTACTTCGCTCGATTATATCTAAGAATCACATGCAAATATACTACTCTATAATTTATCACAATATTAAACACAAAATTAATTGACAACCTCTTATAAAACTACAATATAACTATACAATCCACGCGTAGCGTGGACAAAACACTAGTAGGTAAATAAAAAGTAATTAACAAAAGAACATGTACATTATGGTAAAAGATTCGGCTATAGATATCAAAATATATGTGTGACATCTTTAATGTTATTTTTGATGAATTTAGAAAAAATATTTAATGACATCATTAATATCATTAAAGTAAGGGTTATTGGTTTTTGTATTTTAATGAATTTAAAAATCTTTTTAGATTTCATAAATCTATTGATTTTAAAATCAACAAAAAGAAAAAAAAATCAAATCGACTCAAATAGCAATGTTAAATCTTGTATTTGGGTCTTTGTATTTTAATCATGAAAAATCTTTCAAATCTATTCAAATTCAATTTAAACTCAAATCCTTATAATATTTAGATTTCAAAATTATAGAACCAATAATACTGTATTTCATCGTGGCTTTTAAAATCATAAAACCAATAACATTGTATTTTAATATAGATTTTAAAATACAAGAATCAATAACACTAACCTGGTTTGTATTCTCAAATCCATTAAAATACAAAAAACCAATAACACCTCATTTTCCATTATCTCTCTCAATACTTCGGAGCTAGCCTTAACTAATCAAATGCCAGTATGCCACCATCGCAAACTGACCAAAGCAAAACAATCAATTTAATTGATTACTTATTCCACTTAAACCATCTAAATCTAGAAACGCCTAAAGTTGTAATGCTTTGATGAATAATTACATTGTGGCGCTGATCCTAATAGCGGCTAGATAGATTGAAATGTAAAAAAGAGAAAAGTTTTCCAGAAGAAAGTTGCACTTTTTGCAGCTGTATAAAAAGGTTTATTGAGAAGAGGAGTAACATATTTAAGTGGTGATGGTGTATTGGTAATACAATAGAGTTGGGTTTTTTTTGTGCTTCGGGTGGGACAGAGATTCTTTAGAAGAAATGTCACTACCTTGCGCCTCAATGGAATGAAAAGTCCTGTGAATTTTTCAAGGAAAGAGACAATCTTGAACTTATAACACCCTTTCTTGACTATAATAATACATCTCAAGTGCTAACATTTTTGTGCAAGCGTTGATTGAATTTAAATCTCTAGATTCCTCCTAAACGAGATGAAAGGGTAAAATGGTCAGTTTCCACTCTCCGTGACTAAACACACAAAAGCACAGTGAGCTAAGATTCAATATATCCATTTTTTTTAAGAAATGGTTTCACAAATAAATGTTCTAAACACTTCGAACATTGAATCTAAACCAAATTGCATTAGCAGCAGATATATTCACCCTAACCGAGAAACACATAAATTAGTTTGGGAATCTCGTGGCTCTTCTTCCCCAAGGGGCCATCGGACGCTGCTGATGTTGCTGCCGATGCTGCAGTCCATAGCCATTGCTGCTTACATTGCTTCCCTTGTCTGCAAACCTTCTCATTCTCATTCTCTCTTCCTGCATGCTTGCAAACCGAGAATCAAGCGTCTGAGGCCCTTGACTCTGTCCTCCTCCACTCGCTTGCTTCTGCTTTATCTTCTCCCTTTGCTGCTGCTGCTGCATGGTATTTGATCCACAGATATTGAAAAATTAATATACGCCAAGAAGTTATAGATGTCTGAATCATAATGCTCATATAACACAACAGATACGCATATCGGATCAGCTTCCAAGCAAAATCGGGTCTGTTCAGTACTTATGATAGGTCTTGAATGAGGAAACAAGATCAGATGTAAACTACAATTGGACCTGCATCATCCCACATGCATTGTTTCTTTCTAAAATTACAGTCTCTTCAAGTTCGACCGTATCCACGCTTACTAACCTAAAACCTTCCCTAAGATAATCTGCAACATCTAAAGCAGTTTACAGATGCAGCAAAGAAGGCACAAAACCGCATCATGAAGGTTTACTAAGAAGCTGATCTAATGCAACCTAACAAATGGATATAAATGATTTACCTTTGCGACAAACCCTCTGTGTGCAGACCTATACTGAGCTGGTGGAGTAATAAACCTGCACACATGAAAAAGGGTTTAATAACTGAAAGTGTTTGCAGGGATAAGCCACCTATAAAGAACATCAGAAGAAGCCAATAGATCAAAGTTCTTGAGAATAGACTATTAACTTCTTACCACCATTGAAGGATCTAAAGAGGAAAGTCATGTACTAACAAATAACGAAAGACCCTTATACAATAGAGAAAGCAGCACTTCATGATCCTAGAGCCCACAGCGAACATAGAGTATGTAGCTAGCTCATGCAGGACGAATCGATATATGCTGAAGGCAATAACTCCAGTTTTTGAGTAGCATTTAATCTTAATTCATGACGACTGCTCTGGTCCCGACAAAGCAACTTCTTAAGACTTTATCAGGGTTTTAAGGGAAGACAGGTCGAACGAATGATCCAGTACCATGTAACTATGCATCCGGCCATTTAAGTCGAATATGCTGCCCAAGCAACCGTGCATCTACCATTTCAATGACACAACAATCGACCAACAGAACCAAGCTATACTGTTATGCAGCAAGAAGACAGAACTCAACAATCTAGGTGGCTGATATGAATGCATCTGAGTTTCAAGACTTGAATGCCACAACATCACAGACCAACTGAGTATCATGAATTGAATGCGATAACATCACAGACCATGTACGGTATTATATTTCACCAACTTTCTAAAACCTGACAAATTACCACTGACTTCATGCAAAGACAGAGAAAGTCTTGAGCAAACTCTAGCGCCAACTCCTTCTTTTACTTCAGATCTACCAACCCATTAACGTTTAGTTACTCCCCCCAAATATCCCCCTTAAATCTCTAACAAGTGTTAGAACAGTCATCAGTCTGATGGCCATCCATCATCCAAGAAAGGAATTACGAAACACCCTATGGTAAGAGCTTAGAAGCTTCTCGCATCAGAAACAAATGAAGATCATAGAAGGATTCCCATGTTAATAAACAGATCAGAGAATTATCAAGCAATCTAGACCTTGATTGATTCGTAATAGTCATCCTTCCACGCATTGGAGTAGCAGAAGCGGCTTTACGAGCAACGGTGGTTTTCACAGGAAACTGGTTTCCTTGGAAATTAGACCTTCTCTTAGCAAAAGCACCCTGAAATCATGATATAAGTCACAACAGAAACACCCAAAGGAGGAAAACATCCAAATGACATAAGACTGAGAACACAACAATGCTAACCTGTCTAACATCAGACCTTGAGTCCATATAACGCTGTGCTTTCACCGTACTGTTTTTCGCAGGGCCATTAAAATTCTCCTTTTTATTCTGCTCAAAACAATAACCACAATGCTAATATTCAATAAAGAATCAAAGATACATCAAATTCTCACAAAGATAAGCTAAAGTTACTCACCGATGCTCTCTGTTTCTTGCCTTTATTCACATTGGTATCGCTCTTTGACATCTTGATAATAGCATCTATGCTCACAAGAAATATGAATGATCATGAGCAAATAAACAAGGATGCATCTTTGAATGAGTGAAAGAAAGAGAAGATAAACGTAAAACCTACCTAAAGACATGTCCATTTTCTTCTCCGTGAGAGCAACGGTCTCTGTAGTAATAGGTTTTTCAGTCGTCATCTGCACAATCAAACCATTAAGAAGTGAACACAAGATAAACCAAAACTCAAGTAAAAAATACGATATAAATGAAACATAATTGGAAAAAAATGCTACTTCATAAACCATAATGAATTCTCCAGTAACTTAGCACAATGACTACACCAAAAATCAAAAGTTCTTGAATTTATGATAAGGTACAGAAGTGAAAAGAAACCCTAGTTTTCCGACTATTATTTTTTTTTTTCAAGAAAAAGGTAAAACCCCAAATTGACTGATTTTGCGAATCAATCAAGCAGAATCTAAAGTAATTCGAATAGTGAAGAATTGATGAGAAGCTAAAGAGATGAAATCGATACCGATTTAAGAAGTCAACTGTTTCAGTGAGACGAAAAGGAAAGGCTTTTGGATCTGAAGACGAGTGAAACCAGAGAAGAGAACTGAGTCAATTCGTAAGTATTTAATCTCAGCAGAATAAAGAGCAGATTTATTCATTTATTCATTTATCCATCGAATGGACGGCGGGTTCCAACTCGCAAGTATTACGATGCATTTCAGCTTACCACCAAATGGTTTTGGTCCGTAAACGTGGCACATTGTCAGTAGGCGTAAATTGCGGAATTGCGGAATGGTAACACATTTTTAACATTTTTTTTTTTTATATCGTGGAATTGCGAAATTACGGAATGACGGAAAAAATGAATTGCAGAATAATTTATTGCAGAATTGTGAACTTTTTTTGATAATTTATTGCAGAATAATTTAATGCGTAATTAAGTTTTTAATACGATTGGATAAATTATGGTGGAATTACGGAATTGCAGAATATACTTATTGAAAATATTCTGCTTTTTACTATATATTATAAAAAATAAAATATTAATAATTCAATCAATTATTATAAAATGATATAATTCTAATTGTAATTTTTAATAATTTGTCTTTCAAAATAAAAAATATCGCAAACCTTAAATAATAGATATAACTTTATTGTTAAATAATTTTTTGTAACACTAAATTATCTATTTATACTTATTTAAATAATAAAATATAATAGTTATATAATTAAATAATATAAACATTGATTCCACATATAATCTACTCCAAACACGCTCTCTGTTTAATGAAGATTTCTTTGTATTTTCTGTAAGCAAAAATACAATTCCGCAGATCTTGTGTTTTTGCTTTTTCCGCAGTTTTTTTATTGGCAAAATTCTTGCGTTTTTGCGTTTTTTCACCATTATATCATTCCACAAATGTTACCACAAGTGTTCCACAAGTGTTACCAATCAGAATAAATTTTGAATCTTGTTCTAATCGCACCTTTAATTAAAAATTTAATTCCATACAATTTTAAAGTTTGAAACCAATTCCATATTTGAAACCAATTTGTTTGAAGTTATCAGTTACTATTAGCGAATCAATAGTAAACTTGTTGGTAGTCGGAACCAAACCGACTGAAAACTGATTCAATAAATTTGACTATGATCTGATATGAATTTGATCTGATCCGAATCCGACTCGTAAACTGCCATCATCGGCAAGAGTGTCACTCCATCACACCTCATCATCTCTCCATCATGCTATATCATTGGCGAGTGTGTCACTCAATCACATCTCAATCCTCATCGTCCGCGAGAGTGCTACTCTATTACGCCTCATGGTCGGCGAGAGTGTCACTCCATCACGCCTTATCGTCGGGTAGAATATCACTCCATTACACCTCACCGCCAGTGAAAGTATCACTCCATCACGCCTCATCACCGGCGAGAGTGTCACTCCATCACGCTTCATCATCGGCGATATCAGGGGCGGATCCAAAAACAAATTTTATATAGGGCATAATATAAAATGTGTTAGAGGGGAAATGAGCTCATTTCTTAAAAGGCTTTCTCTAGCAATAACCTAAGCCCGTTAGGACCGCGCCGACCTAGCTCGGACTAAAGGAAATATCTTAAAGATAACCATCGAAGACCGGAAACCTCGGATTAACTCAAAGAGTAAAGGAGAATTTCCATATTCTTCGGAGAATAAGGAATATTTCCATATCGCAAATATGGAAATATTTATGAAAGACAAAAAGGAAAAGGAGATCGGAGCAACCGACCTCCTATCCCTATAAATACAGAGACCCCGAAGCCTGGAAGGACAACTGATACATTCTAGAGAGCAGCAGAGCTAAAACCAGATACTCCAATGCTTTCTAGTTTACTTCGCAAACATTCTTTTCACTTCGGCATAACCTCTCGGTTATCCCATCCTTTGTAATCGCTTCGCTTTATTGCTATTAATAATAGACTTTATTCTCTAAAAGTCACAACTGTTAATCAAAACCCTAGTGGTGATTTTCTGGTTTAACAGTTGGCGCCGTCTGTGGGGACTAGGAGAATAAATTCTTAAAAACCAAGCAAGAGAAGCCGAAGAGATGAGTCTCCCGATCGACAACAGCAGTCTCATCAACAACGACGATGTCACCACCTACACCGAGACGTCTACTCTCGACGAACATGGTAACCCCACCAATGCGAATCCACCCACGGGAGCACCCTCAGCTCCCATTACCACCAGCCTCGCAGCAGCCATCAAGGCTGCCATGCTACCACTCACACAGGACTTGGTGTCCAAACTAGACACCCTCCAGGCCCAGCAAGCCAAGTACGATGAGCAACTCAGCGCCTTCGCAGCCGCGACCATGATATATCATAGTTTTTTATGGTTTTTAACCATGATATAAGTCCTTTTTATTGAGTCCTTTTGGTCTTTTTAGAGTTCTAGAAGAGTCTTTGCAGGTTATAACATGTCTGGAGCATAACTGAAGATATTGGAGCTTTTTGGAGCATTGCAAGTTGAAGCCACGAAGTATCCAACTTGGGAAGAAAAGTATGCATATGGGTGACGCTCGTCACCCATAAAGGAAGGGGTCATGGCTGTTTTCTAAAAGATAGAGGATTATTTGCAGTTTTGGCCCAGAAGTTCCAGTATTTGCAAAAAGACCCCAGATCGTGTTTTAGCTTGTATATAGATTTTTCAGCCATTCTTTTGGCAGATATCTTGTATCTTATTATTCTAGAGAGCTTTAGAGAGAGATTTGTAGCAGAGCTTTTGGAGAGACAAATCAGACTCCTTCAGAGCAGATTTTAAACTCCTTCATCTTTACTTCTTATTTCTTTTATGCAATCTATTCTTTTCATGATGTTTTCACAAATCACCATGTCTGAGTAGTTTGTTAGTTAAGTTAGGGCTTTTCAAAGGTTGAAGAAGAGTTTGTAGAATTGCTAAAAACTTATAGGAAATTCATTGGTTCTTCATCTGTGCTTGCATTCATATCGATTTTTTAGACACATCATCTGGATTTCGAAACCCTAGGTTTTTGATAGATGTGAGAGCATTATTAATCACCTGAACTAGTATTAGATGAGCAAAACACCTATTTGCAAAGAGATTTGGCTTAGGAGTTTTGTGAACAATTGATCATGATCATTACTGCATGTTTAAGTTGTTAGGGTTTGCAAAGAGATTTGAAACTCTGTGATTTAGACATAGATAACTTCTGTAATGAGAATTGATTAGTTATATCTTTGCGATTCATGTTCAAGACGGTTTTAATTTATTCCTGATTTCATGCATTCTACATTCTCGGATTCAACCTGCGAATTGCCTTGACTTAGCGCCTTTAGCCTTCTGAACTTTAAGAACAAGCATAAAATGCCCACTTGAATTTATTTTACTGTTTCGCATTACATTCATTACTTCTTGCTTAGCTTAATCCGAACCTGAACTCTTTAATGTAGTTTACTTACTCCCTTGGGATTCGATAACCCCGTATACTACGACTGCTTTGCTGTGCACTTGCAGTAGTTTTTATTTTGGTAAAACCTGAGCCCTATCAGACCACCGCGAGATTAGAGCCGATCGGGCGACGTTTAATCTTCGAAACACCGGAGCAAAACAACATCAGGGACGCAACTGCGGACGATGAGGAGCCGTCTGGCGAACTGAATTCCGAGATCGCAAGGCTTCACCAGCGAATCAACGCGATCGGATCCCAAGTCCATAGAGCCACCAGCTCGGCACCAAAAATCTCAGCCATTCTCTTCGATGCCGAACGCAATCCATTCGCCCCGCATATCACTGACGTACGGCTTGGCAAGGCGATAAAACTGAAGCTCCCATACTACAACGGGATGGAAGATCCCAACCTATGGCTGACCGGATTCAATGTCGCCATGAAGAGACAACGATTCGAGATCGACCTCTAACGCGAAGCCAACCACTGCCAAACCTTTGTGGAACATCTCAACAAAGACGCTTTGAAGTGGTTCTCTAACTTACCTCCGGCCTCGATCAAATCCTTCATAGATCTGACCCACGCCTTCATAAAACACTATTCCATGTTCATCACGAAGAGGACGGTCAACCTGTTCACTCTAGTACAAGAACGCGACCAACCACTCTGCGATTTCAACAAAAAATTTAAGAACGCCGCCGCGGCGTATGAGCAAATCCCGCAAGCTTTAGCCATTGAGGCACTTATGAACGACCTATGGTACGAATCCCAGCTCAAGGAAGATCTGCATAAGAATCCAAGGGAAACCATAGAAGACGCTCTCCACCGAGCCCAAATCTTCATACGAATGGAAGAGGAGAAAATTTTCTTACGCCAAGAAACATGGCATAGATGCAATGAGTGCTTCGAAAGACAAGGAGCCCGCAACCAAAAGCAAGCCGTCCTCCCACGACGTTGTCACAGCTGGAGAGAAGCCCTGGAATCAGTGGACCCTGGGAGATCCCCCGAGTAGCACGAGCGACAGGGACGACAATCACGACCTGTACTGCTCCTTTCACGGCCGAACAGGGCACGCTACTTCGGCCTGTCGACACCTCCATAATACGCTGTATGAACAATAAAAATAAAGCAAAATCAATGTTGGAGGCGATCGATCCCGGAGTAAAAGCTCTTATTCACGCAGTTCGAACTCTAGGGACTCGCACCAGAACGCCTCCACTCGGGATTGCAAAGATCCAGGAAAAAGCAGCAGTCAAGGAAGCTCTAGAGGAAGGCGCCGAAGTCGCACGCCCGAAAGAAGGCACGAAGAAAAGGAGAAGGAAAAAGGAGCAGAACGCCAAAACGATGAAGGAGAGCACGATAATCCGCCCCCTCCGCCGAAGCGACGGGTCAACATGATCATGGGAGGACTCCCTGACTGCGATGATTCAGTTCACGCCATCAAAGAGTATGGACGTAAAGCGATCGCATCGCGAAAATTCCCTCGTCCGGTGGACTATCACCCCACAATCACCTTCACATTGAAAGATATGCATGGGTTACACACCCCGCACAACGACCCGCTAATGGTCGAACTAAATATCCACAACAGCGAAGTGGCCAAAATCTTGGTGGATACCGGCAGCATGGTCAACATCATCTTTAAAGATACGTTGACCAAGATGGGACTCCAGGACAAAGACATCAAGGCAGCACCAAAGCCTTTGACTGGCTTTGCCAGTGAGTCCTTCTTCAGCCTCGGCACCATACGACTCACGGTCTATGTCGGCGGAGTGACAAAAATCGTCAAATTTACGATAATGGATAAACC